AATATATATCTTAGCAGATTACCAGCAAATTAATTTTACTGACCATGAAAAGTGCTTAGATAACAACAGTGAAAACTGAAGAAGCATCAGAACAATATCCAACAGGATTCAACTCACATTCAATACAGAAATATCAGTTCCTGAGAATTCAAGCACTGTGGTCTCCAGGTCCATTCAATTTGTTATGTTTTGCAATGGGACAACCCAAGTGGATGCCAAATGGGGTAACCAAAAGTATGGACACAGTAAACCTCCATTAGGAATGGGAATAAGTCAGCATTCATCCCAAGTGATCCAAGCTACTTACTTGGAGGGAAACTGTCCCACATATTACCAATGCTCTGTGCAACGTGATCTGTTGGACTAAATTCAGAAATGGCAGAGAATTTTGTTACATTTCTTTCACTTCCTTCAAAACAAATTGCACATTATATCCAGCTAAGCAATCATTATAGACAATGCTTTCTTTTGTGACTTCCCATCTCAGCTCTGCAGTTATCCCAGAAATTACAGCACATAATTTTCACACATACCTATACAATATGTATTTATATGTACACCAATCTCACCAGCCTCCTTACTCCTTTCATTGTCCCATGGCATTTCCCACAAAATTTAAGATATTTTTAAAGTGATTTAATTCTAAAATATAACTCAAAATTTTTGATTTCTATAGAATTTGGCTGCTAGATTCTACATCTGTAGTGTGGCTTCAGTCAGGGGGACAGGATAATGAGCAGGACAAGCAGTGAGACACTTAAAAAAATTCAAAGAGTATTTGCTGAAAATGGGGCATTTGAACTAAATAAAAAGTACATTGGTCAAGAAAGAAGCCACAGGTTAACTAGCCCAAAGCATTTCCAATCTGCAAGATTGTCTTAGAATGAGTTTCTAAGATAGTCTAGAAAAGACAGCCTAGAGAGCAGGTAACCCCTTTCAGGAACCTAATCTTAAAACTTCACAGAAAAGCTTCGGCTTTGCTAAACATCCCAAATGTCAAAGACTCCCACACATCCAATCACAACTTGAAACTCTGATGTATACCTCAAATCTTTAGACACATTCCTTCTGCTTTCCTAAAAGCACAGAAATTCTGACACTACCATTCTCCCTCACTCTCATTACAAAGTAAAGGGATTGTAGTGATACACAACTTTCCAAACGTGTCAACTGTCCACGGCAAAGTCTACATTTCTAATACCATGCAGGAATTCCACATTTCTGTGAATAAAAAAAGGTGTGACAGTAATAGAGCCTTATCCAGAGAAATGTTAAAACATCTTTGCTACTGTTCCCTCTTTTGACAGAGCTCAGCACCTGACAAACTGTCTCTGAAAGGAGATGAGGTTGGTGTTCCTAATTGTTGCAATTACTCCAAAACAAAACCTGGGTATTTCAGACATTCTTAAGTCGGGCATGGAAAAACCTCTATCACTAATGAGTCATAAAACTCTCTGAGATCAACAGCCAAGAAAGCAACAACACAAATACTACACCAGCAATGTTAATTCATCAGACATTTACATTTTCTTATACAAACATTCACTGGATATCCACACTTATAAACTTTCTTTCTTGGACCTCCAGAAGTAGTCCACAGCCATTTTCAAAAGAAATAAGGAAGTAGTTGGGTTTTTTTCCACATCTCGCATACAAGCAATAACAAACCAACATAAAATCCATCTCACTTGATTTCAAAAGATTGCAAAAGACTGTTTCTTTATAAAATGCATTACATTTTTTAAAAGTGAGTAATTAAAAACAAAATGCTCCAGAAAAATATTTAACTGATGCTTTTGCTAATGACTTTGCATTTTCATAATGTGAAAGTATCACTCAGAAGAAGCAGTGCTATTTTCCCCTGACCAACTATGACCCTTAAAAAGAAATTGTAAAATCATTTTGCTTTAAAAGTAACTCTTACCCTTTTTCCAAGACTTTATAGAAAATATAAACTAGCATTAGTGTTGCAAAATAAGTTGAGGCAAACTCATCATTGCTGAGTGCATATGATCACTCAAAAAGTGAAACTGAAATCACAAAAATATTTTAAAGCAATCCTAAACTGAACAATCTCACAGATAAAAGAGCAGTCATATTATAAAAATTACAAAAAAATTAAAATTAGTATCACAGTAATATTTCTGGGTGGATCTGACTAACAATCTATCTCCTAGACATTACAAACTAAATTAAACAGGGAGGGTAACAAATGCATCATAGCAGATAAAAATATAATAAGCACCAGAAGAGATACAGGTGGGAGAGCATATGTTGTCTTTGGAAATGATACACAGGCTGATTGCCTCACTCTCTTTGAGGGGTGAAAAACCCACTCTTTTTTGTTAGTCATCCTTCAAAGGTCTGCAGGAATCATCTTTCCAAGGCAAAAAAAATAAAAAAATCACCTTGAGCATTTTTCACAAAAACACACATGCTGAATAGCCAACTCTCTAAATATCACACATATTTGACATTCTAAGATGGTTGAATGTGTTCACTTCATATTTGGCTGCTAAGAATATGGCCCACACCTTGCTACAGCCTTCAGAGCAGTCAAGGAACAGGAGGGGGAACTGGCAAAGGCAATTCTATCTTACACTATCATCCATCAGAATTTGACTACCAGTGGGTCGGGGGAGTTTAATAAGAGAAATAAGAGAGGTGCAAGATGGGTCTCTTCCAAATGCAGCCAGACCACAAGAAAAAGGATAATGAGTACAGTAAGTCACTCAAACACAAAATAAGATATTTCTCAATTCTTAACTGCAAGGTCTACCCAGCCCTAGGTGTGCTTGTAAGACCTATGCACAGGGTTCCTCCATAGTTTAAACATCTCGTTTCAACCTGAGCTGGGCAGCCATAAATCGGAGGGACCTAAATTTATCTGGAGGGACTAAGATTCTTTGGAGGAAGAAATTATGTTCCCTTCACTCACAGGACAGAAAGCCTCTCCTTCCCCTAGATTTCTGTAGGAAAAGTGAAAATGCTAACTCACCTCGACGCCTTTGAAAGCTGTATTTATACAGAACTTTCAAACAAAAGTAACAGTAATGGAATTATTTTCCTTTAAACCACTGAAATCTGGAGTTCCTTTCACACACGGCCCTTAACACAGTCACTCACGAAGCCAAGTTTCTCTAAGTTTCTTCTATCAAGAAACTGTAACAGAGCTTTTCCCTCAGAAACATATTCCTTAAGGGAACTGGAATAATTTACCATTACACACACTCCGTGTGTAAAGACAGGCCCTAAAAAGGGACCTTTTCCTCCTCGTATTCAGGGAAAGGAAGAGACGGGGAAACACCCTGCTCAAGCAGATGAGCCCGTGGTAGGACTGGGGCTGCGAGAGCCCTGGCTTGCTTTGCCGGCAGTGTTTCTGTCGCTGGTGTTTTCCTCCCCTGCGCTGCAGGAGCGCTCGCCATCCCCGCCCGCCCGTGGCCAAGGGAGCGGGGCCGGGCAGGGCAGGGCAGGGCGGGGCCGCGAGGGTCGGCACCGGCGGAGCTGGAGACAGCAGTGGGGAGGATCCAAGGAAGTCCCCCTGGCAGCGGGATTGCTTTAGAGCTCCCGGTAGGGACGCGCTGCGGTGACACAGCCGCCTGCGGGGGAGCTGGGCCGGGAAGGTGGTCGGGCTTTCTCCCCTCTCGCTGGCGAGCAGCGAGGATGGGAGGAGGGTCCCAGGTCCCCAGTGCCCCCGCGGCTGGAAAAGGGCCCTGAATCCACGCCGCGGAGCTCCGCGATTCCCTGAGGCGGGAGAAGGGCGGTAGCGCATCTCCTCAGCATCTCCCCTCAGGGCAGGGCGAGACGGGGGATCTGCTCGGTCCTCGACTTGGCCACAGGGAAAGGGAGTGCCAGGGGAGAAGCGACTGGATGGAGGGGGGACCTCCCTCCCTTCCCCGCCCTCCGGAGGAGGGGGAGCCGAGCAGGGCCTGCGCCCGGTGCGGCTCCGGGAAGGGGCCGCGTACGGAGCGGCCGCCCTGGACACGCACCCGGGGGATGCGGGCACGGGAATCGGACAGAAAAACAAATGCCAAACAAATAGTCAAGTGAAACCGCTGGTTTAAAAAGCCAACCAGAAAACTAACCCTGGCAAGTAGGATTTGCCCTCCTCTTGGCTGCACTTATTGGCCGTGCTTATGTGCAACGAGCACATATCTGCCAATGCCAGTGGTCGGCTGGCGTGTCCATCAACAGGGAAACAGCAATTCGCCGCTAAGGGAGTACATTCCCATCCATCCATCACAAGGTTTAGCAGGTAGCCGCCTAGAAATCAATCATACACTAATAAAAAAAAAAAAAAGAAATCCTTCTCCATCACGTTACTACTCTAGTGCTCCCAGAAAAAAATATGTATGTATCCTTGATGAATATATGCGTGGATTTTATCATATGCATCATATCCATCACTCTTGTCCAGCCTAAAATGATCTTTTTAAAAAAAAAAAATTAAACCACACAGCACCATAAATGAGGGACCTTGGTAAGTATTCATTAATTATATAACTGAAAAATAATATTCTGTTAGTTTCTCTTTCCATTTGCCAGCCACTGGAAGGGAACAGAAATCTCTCACCTTTTTCCTGACATGGTTTTTAAAACACCAAACATTATCCAGTATTTAGGTATAAAGCTAAAAATTTACAAAGCTCATCGGTTCTATTCTAGAAAACTTTAACAACAACAATAATATTTTTAAACACTGGGCACCAAAAAAAAATAAAAAAGAAAAAGAGACTCCTATGGCTGCTTTTAATAGAAATTGCAAGAGAGATTTCTGGTTGACGATTCTGTAGGGAGAGGCACTCTGTTACCAGAATAAGATGTGCACTTGGTCCCATTTATTACAATGTATTTCTAAAGCAATATAAAAAGCCTTTTCTGCAAATTCATTTCCAGAATCAGCTACCAGGTAGTTGTAAAAAGCAATATACAGCAATTTCCTTAATCACAAATAATTTACAGTCATGTATTACAGCCATATTCTTGCTTAAGCTTCTCACCTTTCAAATCATTGCATCTGTCTTTTCGTCCTCACATGGATTTTACAACATCACGTTTAGCTGACATCCCACTGCGCGGAGGAAGGAGGCAGCAGGGAGAGCCGGAGCCACCGAGCACCTCCGAGGGGAGGAAAAGGGGGAACCTGCTGCAGTCGGGGGAGGCTTGTGCGCTCCTGTCCCTCGTCTTTCTGTCCCTCAGCGAGTCTCCCTCAGTCAGCTGCGATCCTGGCTGTCTGGGTTGCCAGTCCCTGACTCAACATTCCCAGCATTCCCGAGGAGCTGGGGCTCCACCGGCTCGTCCTGCCGCCGGGGGCAGCAGCGGCAGCAGCACACGCACTGCCAGCCCGTGATTTCTCAGAGCATTTGTCTCTGTCCATTCATTGCGAACCCGTGGGTTCCAGTCCCCACCCAGCAAACGTCTGGAAGTGTGTTACTCATTGTGAAATAGCCTAAAAATACACCTATGTCTGCGCAAAACTGCAGAGGCAAATTTGCTTTCTTGTCCCCGTTCCCTGAAGGCCAGAAATGTTCGAAGTCAGGTGCTTAAGAACATGATGTCTAAAAATCCATTACCGTATGTACATGAATACACAGAAGAAAAAAAGAAAGCTAAATCTCTGTTTTGACTTAAGTGTAAAAGAAATGAAAATGACATACATATTTATTTGTATTTTTTAAAAAACAGTATGCGGGGGGGGAATAAAAAGCCATGCAAAGCTGGAGAGCCTTTTCCATCAGAAAACTGCATTATCAATTGTTCCTGAGATTTTATTTCTTTTGTATTAAGGGGAGGGAGAGAAGATTCTATAAAACATCACAGGCTTCTCATCCTAAGAACTGAGGTTTTGTTCCTATTCTATTTTTCCCCTCATTTTTTAAATTTAATTTCTCTGTATACAATTATAAGTGATCACAGTCTTTAGCTTCAATGCACCTTCACACCTTCCCCTACACAGAATTTCAAAAATCTATTTTATCTACCTCTTCTTACTCTCATTGCCATAATAATGATTTTAGGAAGCACTTGAGATCTCTAGTTGTTTTGCTGTAATCTGTATTTTATTTCCATCTTGCCCACATATGCACCTATAAATGCCACTATTAAATATTATTGATAAGAACAACTTTCACAGAATTACTACTAAAAACTCTGTCAAATCAAATTGATTTCAACCAATCACGATTAAAATTAACATAATCCCTTCATTGCTGTATTTGAATTATCCAAAGCCAGTTGAAAGAGTTGGCTGTCATGAATATATATTCAGAGATGCTAGAATGCCATTCAAAGCAGAAGTATAGCAAGTTTGGGTTTTCTATGTTTCCCCAAGAAAGGGACACACTTTTACAGTATCTACCTCAGCTATAATTGCAATAGAGGGCAAACACTTATTTTCCAAGTCCAAAGTAATGGGATAAACCATGATTAAAATGCAAACTTCAGTTGCTTTTAAATCTGCATATTTACTTGAAGACATTTCTGTTAAAACAGTTACAAAACCATGAAAAATACGGACAGAGAAAATCTGTTCCTGGAGAATTTGACAAGAAGGGAATGGTTTTGTGTACAAATAATTTCACTTGAGCTGAAAAGCAAATACAAGAGTATTCTTGAAGAGCTAGCAAGACTGCATCTTAAGGAAATGGATAAACACTATAAAATATGGGTCACTACACTGAATGCTTCAAAGCACAAGAAGTGTCCATTTTCAGAAGTTTGGTGCTTAATTTGGATTTAGTGTGCAATGAGAATATCTTACAGACCTGTCTCAATATTGCTACATCCAGTTCTATCTCAGTACTGTTAATGATGACAGGACTTTTGTTCTAAGTGGTGTCAGTTGCTGACAGTTTTCTAAAAAACATGTCACACCATCCCTGTCTATGTGAAAAGACAAGGAACATCAGGTTCTGCTTTTTCTGTTTTGTGACTCATTCACTGGCAAAGATTAAGGGCCTTGTGAGAGCTGGCAAAAGCCAGGAGCACTCTGACAGAAGACCAGTAGCCTAAGAATCCTCTTTCCAAGAAATAATCACTGTGGGAAGACAGCAGAGAGTTACCATAAGGCCGCAATAATATTGCAATGAATTAAGCTTGCTATCATTCAATAAACTTTATAGCAGAATTAATCATGGACCATCTTGGAGCAGCAGACCATCTGCAGGGGGACTGTCAGAGTTACTAGTGCCAAAGAACAGAATATACCCACTATGGACAAGACCATTTGGTGCAGAGCTTCGTGGGGAAAAAATATTTTGCTGAATTGTACTCAAAAAGAGTTGTGAGGAAAATGTGCAGCTCAAGTGAAGAGGAAAAAAGTGATCAGAATTTTACAGCTAATCTACTTATTGTATTAGAAGAAACAACACCCATGCAAAGAACCTCAGGGTCACATAATCCAAGCCCTTCAAAAATATTCATTCCTTACATTCAAGAGAATGCTGGAATCCAAAGGGTAGGATAATAACAACAGTAGGTATTTAAGGCTGACTTCTCTGTAGATGACGAAAGTTCTCATTTCAGTCTAACCACAGGACCATCTGTGTTGTCCTTGGTGCCATGATGCAGGTGGGAGCCATTAAGCATAAAGAGTCAGATCACATGAGCAAACTACCACTTTGTTCCTGGTTTGGGTTTTTTTTTTTTGTAAGAGGTTCTTATTAACTACTAAACATATCTTTCAGCCAACTGTTAGAGGAAAGCAGGCTGTTGTAAAACTTAAACCAGTGTTTATATTATAAAGTGCCACTTGATGCTATATCTAAGATTTACACTTTTCAACAGTTTTTATCTTCAAATAGATTTTTGGCTAGCATACTTTGGTTTATTTGTTTTCTGAAAAGCTTTCTTGTATGTTTTCCACCTTAAAAATGCAGTATATTCATACTTCTTTCTGCTTTCACATCAGGAGCTGTGAAAACCCCACTGGAATTAATGACTAAATTCTTTTTTATTTCAGTGAGCCTAAATTAGGCCCTAAACAAGTAAAGTATATATGAAATATATATTTTCAAGTCTGTTATTTTCCTTGGTTTATACTATAGTGATTTTGGAAACAGAAAAGTATAAAACATACTTATAATAACTTCTCTGTTTAGTTACTCTAAGTATAAATAATTGAAAATGGCATATAATGTTACTTATTGTCTTCAGCCCCTGTGCCTCCCTTTATCCTTCCCAACTCTTTCTTCTCTTCTTACCTTTGGTAGCAACACTTAAGCAGCAGCAGAGAAGACGTGTGCTGTTTAGTGCTTAACTTTTTTAAAAAATATGAATACAAATAGAAATGGAGCTCAGTCACTGCTGCATAATTGCTAGCAAGCAACTGCAGGTGTGTGCTTAAAAACCCAGGAAAATGCATTTTATCTTTATTCATTGAACCTGTTCTGATGTATTTCTCTGTGCTTCCCTAGTGGCAGAGTTGCCTTCAGCTTTCTTTTTCTATCACAAAAGCCAAGTCAAGAACACAATGTAACAGTCTACTTTCTAACTAAAACTAAATGCTAAAAATTGTGACAATTCTGGTATTATACTACTGTATGAAAACCTGAATTACTCACAAATATACAACAAGAATAGAAACAACACAAAGACATGAATATTACTAGAAATATGGGAGCTTCTGAAACAGAAATAAGACATGATCGTGCAGGTCACTCCCTCTGTTTTGATGGTTAAACCCAGAAATATGTAAGATAATGTTAGATTAGATTATTATCAAGAAACAGAATTAGTAATTCCTTTTACACTATGTTGCAGCACAAAGCAAATAGATGCAACAGTAATGCCCTTGGTAAAATTTAGCTGTTTATTGCATTCACAAGCACTTTTAAAGTTCATTATAATTGCCCAGCAGAACTTACTATTACAAGCTATTGCCCAGATAGAATTCTATAAATAATCATCAAATAAATGGTTTAGTGAATGTGTTTATTCTTTGGAAAAGGAAGTCACGATAGATGTTGGTGCTCTTTATTAATACTTGATTCCCATAAGGGATAAAACCAGAAAGTTACTTTCATAGTTAAAGTTCTTCCCAACTGATAATGGCTGGAAAGAAAAAAACTAAAGCTTAAGCATCTTCAATTAGGTTTAATATTTTAAGAACTAAAATTTTATTAGCAGTCCTTTATTTTCCTGGTTGAATCTGCTTTCTGAAAACAAAGCATTATTGCTACCTCTATTGCACATGTGAATATACTCACTGACTGATAAATGACTGGAGCTGCTGATAAATGAGCACTGACTACTAAAGCCTTAAAAAAAATTAACCAGCATCTAAATGAGTTTAGACATGTCAGAGCTAAAGTCCAACTGACTTTTCAGTAAGGATTAAGCTTTCCAACGCCTACCTTATTCCTGAAAATTAAATCTAGGTACTAAAACTTTTACTTACAAGCGTCAACATGAGGCACTTCCTCTGAAGGCAACTCAGGTTCTCCTCTCAATTCTGCAGTTGCAGGAAACTGGGATCTCCTTCCCTACTCACAATCTCAACCTCTACAGTGAAGTTGGTAGCTACAAACAAAATTAGGGTTGCAGGACTGTTCACCCCCACTGCATTACCTCTTCTCAGCAGAACTAAAAAGTAGTTGCTTAGTAAGGGAGCCTTTTATTGGCCACATAGTCTCCTCTAATTTTAAACAGCTGAGTTCCTGCCTTAATCACAGTCACACCTGAAAGGACTTGGGCAGGAACCAAAGTACCTAAGATTGGTGGAGCTAGAAACTCGATCCACTGGAATAGTCCCAAAATGGAATCAAATTTCTACAATGAATAGCTCCACACTAGATCAAATAAATTAAGGAACAGTGTGAAAATAATTAAAACCAGTAACCCTGTATGACTGCTTCAAAACTGACAATGAACCTGCAGATGCTTCCCTGCTTTTGTGCTCGTGGATTCTGTTGAGGAACTGAGTGTTCAATAGAATAGCAAGAAGTAAAATACACCTGACCATGTATGGCCAATCCAGCTCACAATACTGTTAATTAGCTAATAACTGACATTACATGGAAGGTGTGAGGTTCCCACAACTGTTATGCTTATAATAAGAAGACTTGATAATCTTCCATCTGTTACTCTACATAGACACATTGAAGATAATTTATAGAACTACTGTTTTGAGAGGGTAACACTTTATGTCCACTTCATAGGATTACACAAAGTGTGCATTTCTGGGGAATTAAATTGGATTTATTTTATAACTTGCTTTAGATAATTTAGCTGGTGGATTTATAGGTATTTTTACACATA